GAAACTACACGAACTGATACCTTCTGCAAAAACTTCAATCCGACGGTTTGTAATGCCGTCAGCCAGATACCACGATAGGTCTAGTTGACTTAGTTTTACCTCATTGGCCGTTCGTTGATCGAATCACTGAGGAAATTAGAAGACATCGAAGACTTAATAAAAGATTAAGAAAATATGTAAAAATGGACGTAACAAATCTAAAATCTTTTTTGATTGTGAATATCTTTAAATATATAAAACAGCAAACATTTGTTGAAAGCTATGATAGAATTATCGTATTTTTGAATACTTGGTGAATAGTAGAAGCAACTTTTTGAGATAATTTTAATGAATATTTTGCGAATCTGAAGTTAACATCTTTCGCACATTTTACACACATTTGTCTGTGAATATCTTTGAATGTGTAAAATGGCAAACTTTTGTTGGATGTTGTGATAGAATTATCGTATTTTTGAACACTTGGTGAAGAGTAGAAGCAACTTTTGAGACAATTTAAAGAAAATTTTGAGAATTTAAGGTGTTAATTCCTGTGAATATCTTTAAATTAGTAAAATAGCAAACATTTGTTGGATGCTGTGATACAATTGTTTTTCATGGGAATACTTGGTGAATAGTATAAGCAATTTTTAAGCAATTCTAAAGAATATTTTTGCGAATTTAAGGTGTTAATTCCTGTATATATCTTTATATATGTAAAATGTGTGGCAAACTTTTGTTGGATGCTGTGATAGAATTATCATATTTTTGAACACTTGGTGAAGAGTAGAAGCAACTTTTGAGACAATTTAAAGAAAATTTTGAGAATTTAAGGTGTTAATTCCTGTGAATATCTTTAAATTAGTAAAATAGCAAACATTTGTTGGATGCTGTGATACAATTGTTTTTCATGAGAATACTTGGTGAATAGTATAAGCAATTTTTAAGCAATTCTAAAGAATATTTTTGCGAATTTAAGGTGTTAATTCCTGTATATATCTTTATATATGTAAAATGTGTGGCAAACTTTTGTTGGATGCTGTGATAGAATTATCATATTTTTGACTACATGGTGAATAGTATAAGCAATTTTTTAGACAATTCTAAAGAATATTTTGAGAATTTAAGGTGTTAATTCCATACATTTCATACACATTTGTCTGTGAATATCTTTATATATGTAAAACTTGAATACTTGGCGAATATTAGAAGCAAATTTTGAGACAATTCAAAGAATATTTAGCGAATTTAAGGTGCAAATTCCGTACATTTCATAATTTGGCCGCTCCTGGCTCTGGTCCCCAGCGGCTGTAGAGAACTCAGCCACTCTCCCCTTTGGCGCCACTCAGTTTTTTACCGCCGTGCAGTTGCAGATCAAGAGCGTCAGACACTGGCCGATTGTATCGCTGGCAGCTGAAGGATCAGCCGAAATTCCTCACCGGACCCAATCTTGATGTGTCACCAAACCGCTGCCATTTGGGAATGCCTTGAATTCAGCTCGATTACGGACAATTCTGCCGTTTCCTCTTATCGGTATTAAATAATTATAGGAAATAATAATTCCACGTGGAAAATTAGTAAAGACAAACTTCAGGATGGCATTCTTTCTCTCTTGAGGTAACTCGGATTCCTGGAGCGTAAGGATGACACAGCAATTTATTTAAGGCAAGAACAAACTATGGATGATAAATAAAAAGATAAGCAATGAGGGAAGTTTACAGAGTAGTAAAATATAAACATCAAAATATAATACTCTGTTAATAAAATAATAAATACTTTGTTACATAGCTTCTTTCCTATGGGAGCTGTGACCCACAGCTTGCAATTGTGGTAGTTACTGACATGGATCTGACGTGCTTCTGCCAATGATTCCTTCAAACATCAAAAATGATACTCTGTTAATAAAATAATAAATACTTTGCTACAATATTTATTATAGAATTTGAAGATGATTTGTTGTTGAAAGTTGATTTGGAAAAATATAGCTATATGAATCTATAATTTATTTAATACTTGACGTTTCAGTGGCTTGCCCGTTTCAGTCACCCGTTAAGAATTAAGTAATTTATTGATTGATATAGCTATATAATGGAAGTACAGATTTGTTTTTTTTTCCAATCATACATCCCACCAGACTTTTCTCAAATTGTTCGAATATAGTTTTCTTGTTAGATTCCGACACAAATATAGGTAGAACGTTAAACTATATCTGGATCTAAAATTTAAGTTTTATCTTTCTCAATCTAATGAACTGTTCAAGAAATTCTTTCCAATTGCTGTCCCAAATTTCATTTCTTCTGATAAATTCACTACTTTATTCTTAACAGGCAAAGGACCCTTCTTAAATTTCCTATTCAAACTGAATGCTATCAATGATCCAACATGTAAATGCCGCTTAGATGTTGAATCATAGGTAGAACGTGATGACTTTTTAGTTGTTTTTTAAACACCGTATATAGACGTGATAACACATATATAGGTTATATGGTTGGCTTATTATACACCAATAGATATGATATTATTATAAACTTTTTTCTTTATATCATCAAATGATATGGATAACATATTATATCTAAATATAAAATTCTAGTGATACCAAAAAAAAAAAAAAACAAATTTCTACTGAAACTCGAGTCATCGTTGAAAAACATTTTCCTCGGATTAATTGCTCATACACAAAAAAAAATGTAATGGGCAAAACATGCTGATATTCAAAGAAAGTCTTTGAACACATTAAACTATTTATTTACCTAGAAATAATTAAAATTTTCCAATATACCCCTTTCACATAAAAAGATTGAAAATTAAAACTTTAATAGATATATCATGTATAAAAAGAGTTTTAAGATTATAAGCAATATACAATTTCGTATAAAAAAAAACAGCGATCGTGTTTGAAAAGCACAGCTCCTCCTATCATTGGCTGGCGAAAAAAAAAAGGAAAGATGGCATTCAATTTGGTAGCTAGCTGGTTGTCCATTGTTTGCCATCAGTAAATACTTGCTGTATTCAGGCGACAAGCTTCTTTTTAAATGTTGCCATTTTTTTTACTTCTAATTAGTAGAAAACTGAAGTTTGAAGGGGATGAAAGGATCCTTTGGCGGCGTCTGCTTCTTAATTTAAAGCAAACAAACCTCTCTTCTAATGCCCTCGTTAATAATTCTGAACGAATTAATGTTTCATCAGTGCTTGCTCATCTTGTGAACGGAAGGTTTTACTAGCTTACTTAGGTTGAGATATTGCTCATCTTGTGAACGGAAGGTTTTACTAGCTTGCTTAGGTTAGGTAAGGTTGAGATATTGCTCATCTTGTGAACGGAAGGTTTTACTAGCTTGGTTAGGTTAGGTTAGGTTGAGATATTTCTCATCTTGTGAACGGAAGGTTTTACTAGCTTGGTTAGGTTAGGTTAGGTTGAGATATTTCTCATCTTGTGAACGGAAGGTTTTAATAGCTTTGTTAGGTTGAGATATTGCTCATCTTGTGAATGGAAGGTTTTAATAGCTTGGTTAGGTTGAGATATTGCTCATCTTGTCAACGGAAGGTTTCACTATCTTGGTTAGGTTGAGATATTATATCCGATTTTGAAATACATGACTTGAATGTTTGATACCAAACGAATATCCAATCCTATTCTATAAATGCCCATGAATTTCAAATTCTATATTAACAAATACTTCTTTTTAAACACTATTACACGATTACCTAATTACAATAAAAGGAATTGAAAGATATGAGCCAATGTCGAACTACCTAAAATGTAAATTAGCCGAAAAATCGCAACATTTTCGCAAGTTTTTATCGATTTTTAATTTCAATAGAATCCCGTAGGTGTATACCATACAGCGAAGAAATTCACGAGAAGAATCATGATAAATTCCTGCAATATGATTAACTGTTGATAAAACCCTTCTGCGCTTTCCCAAAAAGACTAAGGATATGCATTTATTTATAGCATCATAGTTTGCCTAAATATAATAAATATTTAAATATTTATAATACGATATAGAACGATGTTTGACCATTATACCACAAATGTTTCTTTTAAACGAAAAATCGAAATTTATTTTAAGGAGAAATAACGATTATTTCTAACCTAAGGGATGAAGTATGATAGAATGAATTATGAAGAGTAATGATAAATTTCAATCCCTTGATACTCTATTTTTCCGTTTATCATTACTCTTCACAATTCATCCTATCATACTTTATCCCTAAAGTTAGAAATAATCGTTATTTCTCCTTAAAATAAATTTCGATTTTTCGTTTAAAAGAAACATTTGCGGTAGAATTGTCAAACATATTTTACAATTTAAATATTTGTTGATATGAAAGTTTTGGTTATTAATCTTTTCGTAATGGATACTGTAGAGTTGATAAGTTAGAGATATTATCCCGTGTTGAAGAGAGGTCTTTGGGACAGGTGGTCTCTTCACGGTGAATTTTCCTGGACAGGAAACTGTCTGAATAAGGGGGAGAACGTATAATACCAAGTCCAGACAGCTCTTCCCTAGCAAAGCCGTTTGTTTCTAATCCCATCGTGAAGAAACAGCTTCCTCCACGTCAAAACATAACTTTAATTCATGATATCTTAGTTAATCCTTAAAATTCTTGCTGTTGAAAAATATAGACAATTTTGACAATTAAAATAATTTATTGACATCTTGTCAATACATGCAAAATGCACAGTCTTCACTATTTTAAAAAGATAATATGGATTATATACACTATGTACAATGAATATGGCGTTTCTGCCACACTCCATAGTTTGGTGGAGGATCGCCAGTGGGTTATAGAGCGCAATCAATTAAAATTTGACTCTCTTTTACACATTTTTCTAGAAAAATATTATTAGAAACAGATGAACTTTTTTTTTTCAATTTTAATTGAAGATTTATTTATAGATTGCTCTATTTTTTAAAACTATAATCCTATATGAGCATTTTGTGTTTAACAAAATAGTTTCAATCTCTTTATTGTATAATAAATCATTTTATATAATATTTACGAACGGAAAAATATGTCCAGGGTAGCCTAGTGGACATGGCATCTGCCCGGTAAGCGGAACATTGTGGGTTCGATTCCCACTTGAACACTTTTATTTTTACGTTTATTATTACTCCTCACAATTCATCCTTTCATAATTCATCCCTATGATTAGAAATAATCGTTATTTCTCCTTAAAATAAATTTATATTTTTCGTTCAAAAGAAACACATGCGGGATATTTTCAAATGTCATTTTACAATCATAGGCCGCATTATAAGGTATAAAAATTCAATCTCTCTTCCTAACAAGTAAGGTAATCAAGGGAGATTCACACTGACATAGAATTATCCTATTGAAAGCTTGAAGGATGGCTGTTCTATATACCACAAATAGATAGATAGATCTATAAAGCAGAGAACGTAGTAATCGCCAGCGTAAACAGCGGCGAGTTGTCAAAAACTCCGTCAAATTAGCTGTCATTAAGCCAACCCGGGCTGAGGTAACAATAGGTTTGGAGAATCTATTAGGCTGTGATGTTCTTCGAATCTCTGATTCACTCGCCGACTTGTCTTTAATTAACTCTGCAGGATCCCGTCCTGTTAGTACCATTGGAACAACTTGCTTTACCTCTTTAGTCTTGTTGTAGACATTTAAATACGTTTATTGACTTCTTGTCAATTATGCATTTAAAATAATGAAAAAATAATGAGAATATTTACAATGATTTATGAGTGAGGAAGGCTTCACCATCTTGATAGGGTCTTCCTCCAGACCAAGAAAGGGTCTTAAGCTTGTGGAATTTACTGAATTCTTCAACAGTTTTTCTTTTCAACAACAACACAGCTTTATTAAGACCATCGGTTTTATTCACAGTACTTCTATTCTATAAATTTCATTTATAAATTTAATTGACATCTATCGATATAATTTGTGACAAATTTGGGTAATGTGTCTCTTTTTTATCTTTATTATTATTATTTATTGATCAATCGGAGAAAGAGATTTGAGATTGAAACATCGTTATTACATTGTTCATATAAGATTATATATGATACTAAATCGAATAAATATGAATAAATAAGATTATATAATGGTAAATATATGAATAAATATATGTAAATATACTTACTGTGTATAAAATAATTGATAAATATACACAATGTCGTCATTGGTGGTATCCACCGCGGGAAAGACTCCGCCACCGATGGACTGCGAGAGTTCTTAGAGAGAAAGTAAGGTGCGATATTGAAATATTTGCGCATATTACAGAGGAAAAACAAACATAACAAACAAATTAGAACTTAGAATTAAATATTCACAAATTGACATGCTTTTTTTTTGCTTATCCCTAGTACACGTAGTACAGGCCATGATAATCATGGTAGGTAGAAGTAGGCGACTGCTTTTACTGTAAGTGTACCACATGTCTACATATGTGAAAAGCAGTTCGACTTTGCACTTGAAAATGTGCCAGAGTGAGTCCCATATTTACATGTATTAATCGACCTAGTTCATAAAATATACAACTGTCTTAAATTTTGTCTATACGTGTATATATTGCATTTTTAAAATTGTTTCCAAAGGTGGAATATTTTTTGGAATATAGTTCAATATTATATATCGAGAGAAAATCAAGGGACAGAGTGAAGAAGTAATCCATGAGATGTATTTCGAAATGTTGATGTCGGCAAAGATTCGAAGTGAATGATTGAGGCAAGGGACAAAGTGGATTCATGAGATGTAGTTCGAGATGTAATATCGGCAAAGACTTTAAGTAAAGGATTGAGAAAAGGGACAGAATGAATCCATAAGATGTAGTTCGAGGTGTGATACCGGCAAAGACACACGATCTAATGCTCGAAGTGAAGAATAGAATCAAGGAACAAAGTAGAGTAATTCCATGAGATGTAGTTTGAGATATGATGTCAGTAAAGACACATGATCTAATGCTTGAAGGATGGAGACAAGGGACAAAGTGAATCCATGAAATGTAGCTCGACATGTGATTCCGGCAAAGACAAGCACTCGAAGTGAAGGATGAAATCAAAGGACAGGGTTAAGAAGTAATCCATGAGATGTAGTTAGAAATGAAAAAAAAAACGATAGAAAAAAAATAATAATAAAGTAGTTCGAAATGTGATGTCGGCAAAGACTTGAAGTGAAGAATGAAGACAAGGAACAGAGTGAATCTCTGAGATGTAGTTCGAAATGTGATGCCGGCAAAGACTTGATATGAAGGATGGAATCAAGAGACAAAGTGGATCCATGAAATTTAGTTCGAGATGTGATGTAGGCAAAGACTTGAAGTAAAGAATAAAGACAAGGGACAAAGTAGATCCATGAAATGTAGTTCGAAATGTGATATCGGCAAAGACTTGAAGTGAAGAATGAAGACAAGAGGCAAAATGGATCCATGAGATGTAGTTCGAAATGTGATATCTGCAAAGACTTGAAGTGAATGATTGTTACAAGGTATAGAATGAATCCCTGAAATCTACAGTTCAAGATATACTAAGATGGCGTCCACAGTACAGCTGTAGGGAATATTGGAGAGTTAGGCGATACTTATGTAAGGTTTTAATTGTAGCGTCGTATGTAATCAACGGCAATTACGGAGGGGCGACGTTACGGAGACGTCCGTTATCTCCCCTCCCCTCCCAGGGAAAGTATTCGATCCCCCTGGGGCCAGGAATTCTGGGGAAGGAAGGGTTGGCCCGACTCCTCCATCTCTTCACTTTCTTTCATAGCGACTTGTTCCCTCTCAGCCACTCGTCTGATAATGGTGAACACTTTTGCAAATTCGCCCAATGTTAAAGACGGGTATGCAAATTCGGCAACGGCTGCTATCCACTACGGCTTCCAGCCTTAATGACGGTCGAGTTTTGAACTAGGCTGAGGCCATGGAGCGCCATTCGTCTGTTATCACTCGTCTGATAATGGCGAAAACTTTTGCAAATTCGCCCAATGTTAAAGTCGGGTATGCAAATTCGGCAGCGGCTGCTAGCCACTGCCTTCCAACTACGACTTCCAGCCTTAATGGCGGTCGGGTTTTGAACTAGGCTGAGGCCCCATAGAGCGCCACTCGTCTGATTTCAGCCAAAATTTTACACAGACTAATCTGTTGTTGTTGCTTATTCCTCAAGTCGTTTATACGATCTCCATTAGATCCCATTGTCTCAGATTTTCTATTATAGTCCTGGGGTTTTCCCAGAGGTCCTTTTTGGAGGATTTGATACAATTCAATAAATGGTCAGGATGTCTCTCTCTGAGGGCGTATGTTGTGTTGGTGTTGCTTATTCCTCAAGTTGTTTAAACGATCTCCATTAGATCCCATTGTCTCAACTTTTCTATTATAGTCCTGAGGTTTTCCCAAAAAGGTATTTTTTAAATAATATTTTAAAATAATTCCTTGTATCAATATTAAGTAAAATATACCAGACCTCCAGGGAAGAGTGTCTTTTCAAAACATTTTTATTCTCTAGCTTTCGGGCATGGACGCCCTTCTTTGATCAAGAGTCACAAGCTGTCCTGAGTCCGGATAGGCCCTTGGACATAACGGAGTTTTTGTCCCCAACATGTTAAATTGCCATGTCTAGGAATTCGCACAGAATGGTTTTATTTTCTGGCGAGAGCTGCCTGAAGAGTTGCTCCCTCTCAGAAAGATATAGGATCGCCCCCAGTACTTTATCCTCAGTATGGTGAGAGGTAGTAACAAAGCTACATATAGAAATGGAAGAGACATTAAGCAAATCGTATTTGAAATTTGACCTGATGTGCAGAAAAAAAAACGTAAAATTTTCGGAAATTCATGGATATTTGAAGTCTTAAAAGATACATAAAATTGTAAGAATATTTTTAGGTGATCATTAATGGTTGGAATTCTTAAAATTATCAAATAATGATTAGTTTTGAATGATAATTAGGAGTTTGATATCTAAAAGGGTTTAATGGTTTTATATAATTGGTACATAGAAAATTGAAAGATTTTATATTCTTAAGATGATTTTTACAAAGCTAGTGTCCACATATTGTCTCGCTCATTTAACCACAATTTTCTTTAAAAAAAAAAGTTCATTATCCATATGGCATATGTTCTAACAATAAGTTTGCAGAAAATTAAGCCACTCAAAACTCTAGTTGAACTTTATTACAACTTTATGTAATGAAAAAATACATTGAATAATAATAGTATCTCTATTTTGGATCTGTAGTATTTATTATTTAAAATAAACACAAGGTAATAAGACCAAATTCAAATAAATAAATAGTGAGTGACGTTTCGGTAACAGCGTTGTTACCCTTTTCAGACAAAAGTACTGAATCAGAATCTGAAGATGGTAACAACCCTGTTACCGAAACGTCATGCACTATTTATTTATTTAGATTTGGTCTTATTACCTTGTGTTTATAATCTATAATCCAAATTGTGCCTTATCATTATTATTTAACATAATTAATTAAACACATAGAGGTTGAAACGGGAATTATATAGTAATGCAATGTGGTTTGTTAATGGTTCTAAAGGCTTACAATGAGACGGCAACATTTTTGAATGAAGTTTGTCTGAAAGCCATTTAAAAAGTAGCAATTTTCTCAGAAGTAAATTTCAATATATAGTTAAACCTGTCTATAGCGCCACCTCTAAATAACGCCTCCCTCTCTATAGCGCCCGATTTTAAATACATAGTACGATGCGATTTACATTAAAAGTGACCTGTCTTTAGTACCCCTTCTCTATAGCACCCTATTTTGGTGAGTCCCAAGAGGGGGCGCTATAGACAGGTTTAACTGTATTGCTATCTTTCTATTTTTTAATGTTAAATATTTATATATATAAATAAAGATGGTGCATACAATTCTGCACAAGGTAATAAACATAATTCTTTGTTAAAATGAAGATTACAAGATCTTCAAGCCGTGGGCAGTATTTGGTGTACAAGTAGACATCTTTCAGACAATACAGAACCCAGAATCCGTTAAAAACAAGTAAAAAAAGTCTTCAATAAAATCCCCATATAAATATATTACTCGCCGTTTAGCTAAAACAGAGTATGTAATCTCCATCACACTGGATAATTGGATGGTATCTCTGAGCATTTTGTTAATTA